GGCTGCTGTGACTTTTCCATCAGTTGGTAAATGAGTTTTCCACCGTAGAAGCCACTGATTCACATGCACGCACCTGCTCACGGCTCGCACTGCAGAAAAGTGGGTGCTGAACAGCGCTCTACGTCTCCATTGTTTCATGGAGACGGAGTATAAAAGGAGACAACAAACCAGAAAAAATGTAAACTCAAAATACTGCACCAGTGTTTGGGTCCCTGGCTCGTCAGTGCGGTAGCCTGAGGACATTCGGTGTCGGCTACGCGCGCATGATGATAAAGTAGCATGATATGCGACATGTGCCATAAGCGTACAGCTTCTACTTCAAGCATGGCCCTTTCGATGACACCATAAAACTTGACTTTTCAATCAATTTACATATCGCTCATTTATTATATTTCATAAAAATTTTAAATTCTTCAAGTGCCTATCTGATAAATAATCACTTCAACTTAATCGCTGCATCTCAGCCGAACCGCCATTGAGGACCTCTAGCCATTTGCCCTAAAAAATGACTCGACTGATGAAAGCATCGTAATCGATCACCAAGAAAACAGAATGAAACTACTGATCAGAGAATCGCTGCATCTTACTACGAACAGTATGTGCAATAGCAGCGCCAGTTTATTTTACCACTCTAGGCTATGCACTTTAACTAACTACCCATTGCCACTAGGAGCCATCTGTTCAGCTTGTATCATTTCACTACCTGCTACCTGAAGACGGAAAACGCAGAAACGTTAGCACTAAAATAAATTAGACTTTAACATTTGTCTTTAACGGATCATGTCCATAATCATCGAATTTTTACCGTACATCTATAATATGTACAACCACTGCCACTTTTCTTAGTGATAAAATTAATACATAATTGATTATGGCCTGACATAAATGGAGAGAAGTTAAAGGAGTAGTGCGCGACAAAGAAGATGACCATCAAACTGAAAGAAAATGTGTACAGAACGATAGTAAAACCGGTGTTCTGACGGAACGGAATGTTTGGGAACAATTAACAGAAATACAAGTAACAGCTGAACTTGATAGAATGCGAATATTCAAATCTGTGTGTAGTGTCAGCAGAAAGGACCACATTTGAAACAGCTTCATAAGAGATACTCTAGGCATAGCACCAATTTCGGGAAAGCTTATCGAAAGAAGGCCACTCTGGTTCGGTCAGATGAAAAGAAGACCCATCAAGTACGTTGAATATGTGATCCAAGAAGTGATAGTGCCAGGGATGAAAATAAGGGAACGACTGGGGAAAAGATGGCACGATAAGAACAATATGAAATTGCTGAGTCACCGAAGATTTGACCACAGACAGAATATGTGGAGGAATTTGACTCGACTAGCGGACTCATGTTAAAAGGAACATGCTAGGAAAAGAAACAAGATATGTAATTGATTATAAATAATTATACCATGCACTGAATTTTCTTTGAAGTATTTTCTAGTCCAGTAAATAAAAATTAAAAATAGTTAATTATTTCAGTTATGCAAATATGTGAATACATGTCAGCAATAGATATTATGACATACGTAACACAATAATATACTCAGATAACATATAATATTACTGTTGTAACAACGCGGTGCGTTGTGCGAGAGCTCCAAGACTGTACCATTCTCTGTACATTCTGTACCTTCTCAATGTCAGTCTTATACGATCCTCCTGGCATGAAATACGTTAGCATTTTGATTGATTCTAAGATTTCACCTACCCAGAGAAGAGTCGCTTTTATATCGTTCTAGATCGGAGGAGGGGGTTAAGACTCGCATTACAATGTTTTACGGGCATGCCATATTCCTTCCATTACACTGTGAAAAGAAGATCTCGTGCGAAATCAAGTTTTCCTTCACGTGTGCTTTGAAGAACAAGTATTCAGTGCCCGGCTGCTTCACAGTCATTCGTTGCCATTAAACGCTGGAGATTCATAGCAGTCGTCCCGCCCCCTCTCCAGAATGCTTAAAACAAACGGAGTTTTGTTTCTTCGATGGATGAACTTTTACATTCATAGGGTAGGAGAGCAGCTGTCATCGGTCAGATAGAAATTTACGGAGTATCGTTAAGTGAAATCTTGAATGCTATTACTTCGTCACATTCTGGGAAGTTGTATGACATCAATTTCTCTCATTCGTAGACGCTGATATTGCAGTCAACATTTTTGGCCAATATGGAAATAACATATCTTGCAACTCAGCAGCTAAGCTTTTGGCTATAGTCAGTCACCTAATATCAACCTGAAGAACCATTTCTAACGGTCAAACAACAAATCTGGGTTACTCTGTTGCTTAAACTCTGGTAGCTTCGGACGACGAAAAGAATCCTTCGGGCAATAACATACTACTGTCATCGCCTTCAGTCATGGCCATGTTGTCTGCTTAACGACCAAAAGATTTAGCCTTCACGCTGAATCCCTCCTTCGTTTCTTGTTGCTGCAGAAGTTGCAATTAAAACTAAATCACCTGTTAATCAAAATTTCGAAACCGACATTACTCTGATCTCGAACTCTCCGGAGAAACCATGCAATGCTGATCGCAAAACTTGCTTGATCCGCTAGGTCGATCGACACTCAACAAATAGATATATCGTATCTTTCACTCTTTTTTCTTTAAGTCCTTTTATAGGCCACATGAAATCGCCCCGTCTTTTCGAAGGGCGCCCAAGCGATTTTCCATGAATGATCGGTACATCGACAATAGCCGCCATTGATCACTGCTCATTCAACCGCATTCTGCTCTCTCTGCCCTTCAAGACAGCATCCTTCATTCCGGTTTCAAGCAATCACAGCATAACAGCTTCGCCCAATAACATCTAAGACAAGGGCAAGACAGTCAAAATAATGCTTCAGCTTTTTGATACTGGGCCCATAGTTACATAGATAGAAGCATGAACGATTCATGGGTCAGGACTCCATATACAACGGAGGATACAATACTTTACTGCCGACGTGTTTCGTCACATATACCGTAGCACCATCAGGGCAAAAATAAGTTTGTAGCGAAACGCGTCGGAAATAAACTGTTCTACCATCTGTTGTATTTCATGCCCCGAACCAGGAATCATTCAAACAAATATCTAGTAACATTGTCGAAAACTCCCTTCTTCTTAACAGGTAAACAGTTGTTCGCAAGATTCGATCTGCTCCTTGCTGCATTATGAAATTCTATTAAAGACTACGACACTTTTCCAATTTACAGTTTTTATATTCTACACACAAAACTTTTTGTATAATGAGGAAATACGAAGAGAAAATTCAAGATAACAAAACAACTCACCTCTGAGTGCATTATGGTTTGCTCCAGCTTTTGAATCTGGTCCTCGCTGGCGTAATCGGTGCCGCTGGTTAGCTTCGACAGACGGGAAGTCGGAAGGGACTTCAGCCACTGGCGGAGGTCATCGAAACGACGCATTCGGCTGAATTACACAACGAGCAGTGAGTGGAAACGAAACTTTTACAACGTGCATTACTCGTCATCGTCGGCAGGCCAAATGTCTCTGAAATGACTGACGCTCGGCAGGTCATGTTGGCACAGGTATTCGTAAACTTCGGGAAATCTATTCGACATAACGTGTACACTTCAAAAGAGACCGAACAGAAGATCTCCAATAAGTCATAAGTACTTACTTGTGAGTATACTCTGAAACGAGTGGCAACACCTTTTCGGAAAACCACCACAAGCCATACTCGTCTCTGTGGCTGTAATCCGGAATCTCTTTCTTTAGCTTATTGTACTTTAAATCCAACCCGATGTTCTGTCGTGCCTGTACTTGGGGCGAAATCTGATCGACGAATACGCAGCCGGTAATGCGTCCCAC